ACTTTGTGGATGACTCACTGCACCATGTCGCACTGCAACACCAAGGGCATCATACAGAGACGTAACTAGCTGATTAACAAATTCTGTGCCATTATCACCACGCACAACTACTGGGGCACCCCAGCGGGAACATACATCAAAAAATGCAGCTGCTACAGACTGATCATCATGGCGAACCAATGGGACAACCTCGACCCACTTAGCAAACATATCAGTACAAACAAAAACACAATGATACCCGTGGCTTCTATTCGGGCCCAACTCAAGGGTATTGAGCTGCCCTACGTTCCACGGACCAGACGGTAAAACCGGACGTGTTGGCTCGGCAACAGGCCCACGCTTAGAATTAGCAGCAGCACACACATCACACGACTGAATCAACGACTGACAAACAACAGCCATATTTGCAAAATAACAACTCGCACGCAACAGCTTCCATGTGGTCTCCCAACTGGAGTGACCGCTCCCAGCATGAGCACAACACACCACTCGCTGCTGCAATGACTGAGACACAATTGAGCCGTCAGATGCATAAAGGGACCATTAATTTTGACAATTTTTGGGCAAATTGAGTTATGATATGTACAAGAATCTAGAAGGGTTGTAGATTCACATGCAAAAAAACGTTTCAAAAAATATCGCTTCGTTGGAAAATTATGCAAACCAAAAAGCGATCGGCGAGAAAGATTTGTTTGCATTTGCGTGATGGGAACACTGCCGCGGAATTTGGCCATTCTCAGCCCCAACTCAGCCGATTTGGACAGTTGAACGACCAGAATTATCGTCATGACACCAGCTTCCAGACTACGGCGGTCCCAATGCCGGCTCAGTTCCTGGGGAGACACAATTCAACGTAAATCGCGAACGCATCGTTTTGACAGTTCAAAATGTTGAAAACGAACCACTTGACTTTGAACACGTTTTTCTCCGTTTCAAGTGGACCTGCAAATGGTCCCTTTATGCATCTGACGGCTCAATTGGTACAACACGCACATCATTCGGCGGTATCTTCACACTACGATACAGGTAGCCATCATCAGATACAGACAATTGAGACTTCAATTTCTTTTAAAAATACCTGGTCGGAAATCTCACGACCATGACGCACACACTCAATCACACTAACAACAACAGGATGAGACTTCTGCGTATCAAGAATGTCCTGTAACACAATAGCACTCACAATCGTCGGGGGTGCAGAGACGGCAGCAACTACATCTGGCTTGGCTGATTTCTTCCAGCAGCGGATGAACAAATCTGGGACACGCGTCAGCTTGTCAGCATTGTTCTGCTGGGACGGTACCCACTCAATGGTGACGGGCAGCTTCGCGGTCGCGACAATGTCGTCGATGATGTTTAGTCATCTGCGAACCAACACTTCGTTCAGACCGGACACCCTGACAAGCCGCTCATTGTTCAGGCACGACTTCACCCAGCCGTATGCGGTCTTGGAATCAGTGACAAGACGGACGTTGCTGGCGTAAAATTCGACTGCCGTCGACAACCCACGGATCACTGCTTCCAATTTTGCGATGTTGATGTGTTTCTTCTCGTCGGCTTCGCAAAGCCAAGACTTGCTTCCCATCGAACCACATGGTGAGCTGCTGCTCGTTCACTGACGCATTCCACACGCCTGTGGCCGGATCCTAATCTTGGACGCGACTTGATATTTCAGCACAACAGGTTACCACATCGTTGGGGACGTCATCATCCCAACCACTACCGTCACGACACGCTAGGTGCTTCAAGAAGCTGCAGGCAGGTCGCAGCCACGAGCACACGGGATAGCTGAACAGCTGAAGTCAAGTACAGGTTCTCCCTCATTATAACGAGTCCGGTTACTACATAAACCCCGTTAGTAAATATAAATCTGAAATCCTCTGGCAAAATGTGGTCTATACAACTGTTTACAGGTCCGGTTACAACATAATCTGTTATTACATAAAATCCGTTTTAACGACCCTTTGCCCAGGTCCCTGGAGTGCCAAACCCTCAGTATAAGATAATATTGACCATGCAGGACCAAGGCCAAAAACACGTGGGATAAAGCAGAAAGACGAAATGTATTATGTCTATGTATTCGTGAATATGGACGATCCTTTGCATCCAAGGAAGAGTTATGTTGGAGTAACTTGGAGATTTTCAATTATCTTATAACGAGTTGAAGCATCGATAATTTATGTTGTATCGAGGGTAGCCCCGATAAGTACGAAGTAGTGCCTATTTCACCTTTAGCTGCAAGTCCTGCTACAAGATAAGTCTCGTTATAAGATAACTTTTTCGACGGCCCAGAGATTATCTACTAACGAGGGAGGACCTGTACTTGGGCGGAACTGGCGGGCTCAACTGGCTTCGTGCGCAGGCCATAGCGCTCGAGGGTATCAGCAACAGCCTTTGTCTGCGGTTTCGGGACGTACAGATCGTCAACGTAATTGTCAACACCATCGTGATCGCGCGTACACCACTTGACTATCACGTCCATGAACTTCGGTGCAACGCTTTTAAAACCCGAAATCCATACGGGTCATTAGGTACAGCTTTCCCCTCCCTTTCACGCACTGGTACCGTAGCAACTCAGGTGACATACGGACTTGCAGATATGCTTTTCGAATATCCAGCATCTCATATTCGTTGGCATCATGCGTACGCCACTCACGCAACTTCTCGCGACACACGGAGGCATCCGTACCGGGCTGAGAAATGAGGGCGCGGTTCAGAGCACGGTAATCGAGGCAAGGCCTAACAGGTGTAGTAGGCTTGTGCTCCTGGCTGACTGCAAGCCATAGCAGAATTGCAGCAGGAGCTCCGTGTTCCTCTTCATCATGCTCAACGAGCCATCCATTACTGATCCAGGAGTCCACTTCTTGCTGGAACAGCTTCTCCTGATCATCACTGAGTTTCTGGGGTACTCCCTAATGCCGCTGCCGATGCGTCCGGTAAGTGGCTTGTCATCCTTCCACCTCCATGCTGCCTGCCCACACTGCTCAGCTGCTAGCCACTTTATCTGACCATACTCGAAGGATAGCGTCACGTCCTCACCGTCTTGCACCACGCTAACATGCCGAGACGGGTGCTGATCTGGCGACTGCACAGCATCACTCACGGCAGACGACACAGGCTCAGAGTCACTAGCGGTTGACAAACAAAACAACACGGACCGCAGATCACCTGACTCAGAGTACTGCAACCTGACGCCACCAATGGCACGGACAAGGTGAGATCTCAGCAACAGGTCAGCATTAATAACGGACAGCTCAGAAACTACAAACGAAACAACACGGGTAGGCGGTAAATTTACGGGTCCATCCAGGTGACGAATCGTTAATGAAATTGACCCCGAAATGGGCAGGACTCCGCCATCCAGGGCGAGGACCTTCTCCTGCTTTACCGCCGACACTTGGCTGCACATCTTAGCCGCACGTATAAATGTAGACGACTCTAGCGTGCGAGCCGACCCGGTGTCCAGCATGGCCTCTCCACGGCGCCAGTCATCCGGCTTGACCGACTCCACGTCCACATAGATCCTCGGCATGGGGCAGCTTCAGTGGACAACGCACACAGGCGCTTGTCACTGCTACTCTGCGACGTACCAGCAGCCGCCACACATTCTGCTGCCTTGGCGTCTCGCCACTTCTTTCTCTCAGGGCACGCTTGCTTTCAGTTTGCATGACCATGCTGGTCACAAAAGTGGCACACTACTGGTCCACGGAAACAGGGCTTCTGCTTCTTCTTGAGCTCTAGGCAGTTAACTCTCTGCCTGAACCTGCTCGTGTAACGAGCATCCGTCTCACAGGCTCTAAGGCCACGTACACGCTGTAGACAAGCAGGTATCGTCAGTTCTTGGCCAGCCAGCGACATTCTCAGCTGACGGCCAAATTCGGGCAGCAGGACAGGAAACAGTTGCTCGATCACGATCGGATCCTTGCTGGTGTCACCGCCCGGTTTGTGCCCCGACAGCGCTGCAAAACGCTGCAAATCGGCCACATACGAGTCGACACTTTCATCCACACACAAACAACGGCGCTTGAACAAATCATACGCTCTGGATGGCGTCACACTGAATGCACTCACTGAAACGTTCTTGACCTCTGCTTGTTTGCTTTTGTCACTGTCAGCCATACGAGCTAACACTCGAAATGCTGAGTTTACTTTCACCTAGCGTTGGCTGAATTCCAATTATCAAGGTTCATGAAGTATTTGTCTTGTGCAGTTAGCAATCTTCAGATGTGACGTTAGACGTCCGTGATGACTTCCTTGATGACTTGTTGGCTTTCACTTGGCGTCGACTTTTCACCTATCTTTGTCACCACCTCAGTACTCTTTGTGACATTTAGATTAGCGCAACCTATTCCTGTGTACTTGTGATTGTGGTGTTTGGTAGAGTTCATAACACCTCCATTCTGCACTATTCCTTTTGTGTTGATTTGTCACATAATTATGTGAGTTAGTTGAGTGTTTACACCTTGCGCCTGTATCTTCTCTAATGAACCCTTCATTCAACAACTGCTTCTCCTCTGATGAGTTCCCCGTCAACTTTATGGAACGAAACAAGACTTGTCAGGAGTAATACTACTTGCTTTCGTGGAGTGTGGCTGGTGAACTGTTCGTGCTGTGATCTGCAAGCGTCGTGCGGTCTCGTTGGGTCAAATGAAAAACCTATTACTACTATTTAACGGACCTATTGAAGATGGCAACAAAGAATTACAAACTGTTAGTTCGCCATCTTCTGTACACTGTTTCTTAGTACATCCTTTCTCTTGCTGGTCTGCACCCCGTACACAAAGCTTGCCGAGTTCCTGTATAGCAGCTGCTTGTGCCTCTGTATTGGTCATAGGCACTCAGGCCATTTATCTACATTGTAGTTCTCCCCCTTGCTCACTCTCATTCTCCCTGTCTCTCTTGCCGTGATCAATCATGTAGTCATTTGTCTCTCTGTCTCTCCCTTAGCCCTTTCCCCGATACGCAAATATCTTCAATGTTCCTTCCTCTCCCTACTCCAGGATCAAGAAACACCATTGCACTTAGCCTGTAAATACGGCAACCCGGAGGTTATAGAATTTCTGCTTGAAAAGGGTTCAGATCTTTTTGCCTTGAGCAAGGTAAGTTACACTTTTAGTTAATGTGGCAGCATGGAGGTAATAATCATAATATGCCGATGAATAGAATCAAGTGCGCACTCGTATCATAAACATTGCAACCAAAGATGTTATAAAGGGGAACTCCACGGAAAAAATGAAACTTTCATATCCTGTAGAGTCTGGGGTGCTGAGTCAAATGGTCTTGGTCCCAAGTCTCTACGACAAAGCGTTCTTGAGATATTGGCAAAAACGGGGCCGCGCCGTGACGAGATGCGGCCATTTGGCTATGTCATTCCGGCCTGCCTACGTCATTGTGGCAGGGTCTGAATCTCGGAGCATTATTTTAGTATACAATTTCAAGGAAAGATGAGCTATTCCAAACAATTCTTTGTACCTAGCAATGAAGGCAGCGATGCTGAGGTCAGTGAAGACCACCATCAACCGACCGCTGCGTATGGTTGGGGCAGGGAGCCCAGATACTCTGCCGAGGAGCTGCTATCGCGCGTAACACATGTTGAGGAAGAAGATGCCTCAGCAGCTGTGTCCGACAGAAGACGAGTAGCTTGGCCACCAGAATCTCGAATCGTTTGGGACTTCGGCTGGTGCGAGCGTGGACAAAGGTGTATAGCCATACCCAGCCCGCGGGAATGATTTTTCTGGTAGGATGCTGTCGTCGCTGTCGAGAAGACGGCCCAAGGTTTCTTGCGTAGCCGACCTCGCAGATTACGAGATCGTAGCCTTGCATTAGGCTGTGCCCACCACTGCTCTTCGAGGTTATCTCGACATGCAAAAGCCGCCAATGCCAGTGACAGAAGAGTCTGGCATCAGGTAAGCCTCAATTAGTTTGTCTTGACTTTGTCTTGTGAGGATCGTGCATCAATATGATACGCTTAGTTTTTTGGAGAAATTCATTGTTGTCAGGCGACTACAGTAGGCGTTGCACAAGAAATACATTGTACTGGTAGTTATCACAAGTTTCATGCATGACACAAAACAAATTCTCTTTGCTCCGAGTACGTCTTGACTTGTCTTGTGAGGATTGATGCGCGTAATGTTTTGCATGTGACTTAATTATTGTTGTCAGGCATAGCACGAAAACATTGTACTATAGTTCTAGTAGTTATCACACATTTTCATGCAAGACTCAAACACATTAATTTTGTCTTTATCATCATCCCTTGGATGGGTACAAGATCTGCAAAGTATGGCAGTGTTCTGTTGGTGAAGAGAGCACTGAACACAGTTTATGAGCACCGTGGGTGCATTTGATCACACCCGAACCCATACTTTATCGTTTCACGCTATAGGCTTTGTCAATACACCCGTTCTCTAGTATACCATGTCATGCAACGTACAAGCATGGGGTCAAGATAGAGTACACCAAAATAATATACAAATTCTGGCAGGAGAGTAAGACCTCTGTACTTTCTGACCAAGACATATCTGTACTAGTAGGTAATCGAACGCGTCCTAATTCATTCCCCAGATCATTGGAATTCAATTTGAAATCAGCAATTATTGGAAATTATACAAGAACCTCCATCTTTGTATCAGTGGACACTAAATTATTATGGCGCGCGCACTGAATGTGCAGGTAGGTACCGGTAGGTGCAATACAGCGCATTTGTAGAGTAAATGAGTATTGACTACAGTATAGTCACTATTAATTATTACGGTCCAGCAATTTGGTATGTGTACAAGCACTCAGCATACACACTCCGTATGACATTCTATGTTTCTGTAGATCTCTACGCTATGCGGCACACAGGCAGTACACACTGTATGTACACGGCAAATTGGGCAGGCACGTTTGTTGTCGTCTTTCAGCCTGCGTTGTGAATACCATCAGGCAAAGATATCCAAATCCTGCACCACCTCGGCCTTCTCAGGAGGCTTCCACCCGGGATTAGGCAGGGAAACGGGCTTCTCCAAGGAAGGAACATCGAGGTTGCAATTTGCAACCGTTACCAACTCACACATGAGCTTGTCAACAATCTCATAACTCTTTCTTTCGTATAATTATCTATTTGGCCACATAGTCTTCTTTATGCTTCGAGAACTGGACTTTATACCTTCCTATCGGGGTCTTTTTGGTTGTGCTGTGGCGACGGTTGACATTGACGTCGTCAAGAGCTGCGCGTCCAATCATCCCCAGAATTGAGAAACGAATGCGTTTCAGAATGTATTTTGGCATGGCACTGTGATATACCTGCATGGCAAAAAGAATGTTGAGAAAACACACTTGCTTAGACAATATACTATTATGTGTTAGAAACCACCAGTTCTCAAGTGGGAAAGGCCTTCTGGCTTATGACATTGTATTCGTTGCCATGTTGTATCTCGACTTCGCCGTACTGCTGATCTTTGCTGCATGGCGAAAGCTATTTACGCTGTGTGCGTTTTGCTGTATACGCTGTCATGTCATGTTTTACATGCATATGCTTTGATTTATACATGTACGCTGTTTTTGCATGCTATAAATAGCTGGTGTTATTAGTGTTAGTTAGGGAGCATCTCATAAGTTCGCATTTTTTTCTAAACGTAACGCATTTCGAAACGGTAGGGGGGTAGAGCCCTTTTCGAATAGAAAAATGACAGTTCGTAATCGCACATTTCCTGGACTTGTAGATGTACATACTGTTCATGCAGTGCATGTGCTAGATCGCTTCAGGAAATGAGCGTGTTTAGGTGTAGATCTATGTGCCTGTATTTGGAGATCAGCCTTGCACTGCATGCATACATGCTACTCAGAGGTGTCAAGTGTCACATCAGCAACTCTATTTATGTGCGTGTACATGTCATTCATTGTTTTTGTACTCTATACTAGATGCAGTACTGTATGCCATTCAATTTGACATTCATTATAATGTGCAGGGACATGCACAGATCCAAAGGGAAAAGGTGCGATAAGACTTTCAAATAGAGGGGGGAGGTAGGGGGTAAAGTCTATTTGAAATGCGTTACGTTTGCAAATAAAATGCGAACTTATGAGACGCTCCCTTAGATTCAATGGAAGTCAAAATATACGGTTCAGAATAAATTGTTGTCCTGGTGCCGTGTGGTCGTTCGTTCCTGATACTTCAGAGAACCAGAGGGTTCATAACAGTTGGCGACCACGCCAGGATACGGAGTTTAGCATGGCAGAGCAACTACATAATTTTGGAAGCCAGCTTTATCGCCAATGGAGTTCGGTTAGGATTGGAAGGCGATGAGTTGAGGGAACATTTGAAGCAGAGGCTCCGACAGTACGGGCAGCGTTGAGCGATCGCTCCGCGAAACATACTTTTTGAAATTCTCTACATAGTATAATTATCTTCCACCATTGACATTTCGAATTTCTTCAAAAAAAGTGCTGAGAGGGGTGGCTTGCAACCTCGATATGGCTTGTTCCAGGCATGCTTTGGAGCCATCTTCTGTTGAAGTAGTGGCGGGGATCTGCCCTGCAACTGCTACAACAAAAATGATTCGATCTGAGAAAGGGTGAGACCGCGAATCTCGGTTGAATATTGAGTATTTCAAGCCTTTTCACGACGAAGATGGAGTTCTTTTTGGAGATGGACGTCGCGGCAAAGGACATGGTGTCCGACTTCTGGCGTCTGGTGAAGCCAGGGATCATTTGTCCAGTCAGGTCGGCAGCCTAACCGTCGGTAAGCTTGTGTTTGGATCCCGTTCTGCTCGATGTGGTAGATCACAAACAATTAACCCTTTATGTACTGAAAAATTGTACACAGACTGAATTTGATCTCGACTCACCCCAAATTCTATAATTATCCGGGTCATAACTTTAGTCTCCTTTTGACGATTTTTTCAATCTTGGGCTTCCTGGAAAGCTCGTTGCAAGAGGAACACATTGAGTCCACGCTTGCCACCACGAAGGTCAAAACGCCAGCGCTACAGCCCAGCGTCTTAGCGGCAACGCCAATATTCCGACAGAAGTCGTCTTGCATCAGCCATTTCGCTCTCCTTGCTCGTAACAACTAACTGTTACTTCAGAAAAATTTCACAAACTGCCATGAGTCCGTTCACCATTTTGAACGTGTTTCTACGTCACTGCATGCCCAGAATGATGGGGAAATCCCTCATTCAAATTTGCGCGAGCGGCTATTGAGCGACATTTGCCGCGATTCGACTTTCGAGCTTCGTAACTCTGGAACCACACATCGGAGCGCTTCAGCGATTGTTCCAATGGACAGCTGAGAGTTTTCTCTTTGACTTACATATTTTAGTTTTCGAATATAAGCCAGCAATGACCGAGTTACGATCGATTGAAAATTTGAAAAGTTTCGATCCCAGGGGATCGAAAGTTGTACAGTCCGTACACAAAGGGTTAAATATCGCACAAATTGATCTCAGCATCGTGCGTACGGTATTTTATATTCAGAAAATCCCAAAGTGTCTCTGTGTGGCCGTCCTATGCCACGAGAAACTCCAATCAGGCTCCTATGTCCTCTGCTTTCATGATTGAATGTCCACTTCGTTTGAACAACGACCACAACAATCTAGGACGGCTTTGCAATGAAAAATACAGCTATACTGGAGCTGAAAAAAGAAGAAAAAAACGTGCTCAGGATGAGACTCGAGTACATGCATACTCTCCCAGCAGGTGAAACGCAAATTTTTGTGAAAATGCGTGTCGCCGACTAACCAGTAATTTCGCCTGACGTATGTATTGGATGCAATAATTACGAGGAAGCAAAGCGAGAGTTGCTTGCCTCGCTCGGAAAGACTCCGGATAAAGCGTGGCAGACATTGCTGACAGGCAAGCACCGGTCAGATGATTCTTTTCACCAATACGTTGTCCGTGTTTGCCGAGAGGTACAGGTATGACGTGTTGGACGGAGCAGGTTACAGCCGGGAGAAACCGACTGAGATAGTAACGGACTCTGGACTCGGGCGCTGAGGCGTCATTTATGACTGCAGCGTTGGGGTCAGCAATCGATGCAGAGCACGTTGGTGCTGAAAATGTAGAGGTGAAGCCGTTCGGCGCAGAGCCAACCCAACAGCGCATGGATAAATACGCC